GGGGACATCTGTGGCTGTCACAACTGGGAGTGCTCTAGGTGTGGAGTGGGTGGAGGCCAGGGATGCTGCTCAGCACCTGCAGTGCCCAGGATGCCCCACCACAGGGTATGAGTTGGCACCAACGTCCACAGTGCTGAGGGAGAGACTCGTCTTTGTATAGAGTCCCAAAGTAAGACCTTCCAGAACCCACTCCCTGGATTTTCAAGCAACCCATTTGCGAGTCCTAGAAGTTGCCCTCACATTCTCCAGAACCCAACTTGGGGGACTGGAAATCTGCTTCTGAGTCTTTAGGACTCAGACGCTTCAGCGCTGTGCTGCTGAAGAGAGCGGCCACTGGCCACATGTGGCACAGCTATGAAATGTGGCCTGTCCGAATTGAGACGTGAGTGTTTTTCAAAGGCTTAGTACAAAAATATAAAAGAATATAAAATATTTCAATAAATTTTTCATATTGCTTATGTGTTGAAATGACAATGTTTTGAATGCCATGGGTTAAATAAATTATGTGGCTAAAGTGAATTTCCTTGGTGTGTTCATACTTTTAAGTGTGGGCACCAGAAAAGTTTTTAATTACATATGTGATTCCAATTCTATTTCTACTAGACTGGGCTGCTCTGGAACCCCCTTTTAGGAGAAATCTAAAATGGCTTGAGTGAGCAAGACCCCAGCTGAAGAAATCCTACAACTCGGCTTTGGGAATTCCAGGACCTGTCCCCTGGAGAATTTAGAAGCCACCTTGGCGTTGGGATTCTAGAGCCTTCTCCCCACTTGCAGACCATCTGTTCTGAGAAATCGGATTCCTTCTCCTGACTGCCCTTGCAGCCCTCCAGAACAGCCAGAAGGATCTAAAGATGGGACAGAAGGGTGATCAGCCCTGGGCAATGCCCCGCCCCTCTCTGGGCCTCAGTTTCCTGTATGGACAAGATATCCAGTGTCCCCAGGTGCCCCTTCCTTCACCCCTCACCAACTCTGACCATCTGTGACTTCCTGTCCACACCCAGGGGGAGGGGGAGGGGCTGGCCTGGCAGCTGGCCGGAGGGGGGACATGGAGGTGTCCCTAGCTGCCCTCGGCCTCCCCTCGTCTTTCTGGGCACAGGGCCAGTGTGGCAACTGCAGTTCCGCCACGCCGGGTGGCAGTCACAGGTGCACTACAGTGCCTCCCACTTCTGCTGGCTTCTGGGAGGGCAGGTCCCTGCCTGTGTGGACGAGGGCACCCTGGGGGGTGTGGCTGGAGCCTCCACACACCTGCATGGACGTGCCACCCAGGGCACCGGCGGGGTGTCTGCAGAGGGGAGGGACCTACTCCCCATTTCTGAGCAGTTTCCACGTGCTAAGAGGTTGTTTTATTTTCCACAGACACTACCCTATTTAAATCCCTGGACGCCCCCCCGGCCCCCCACCCCATGCTCACTTTGCAGAGAAGGAAACAGAGGCACAGAGATGTGAATGGACTTGCCCAAGGTTGCACAGCTGGCCAGAGGGCAGAGCTGGGACGAGAACCACAGTGACAGTGATGGCAATCATGACTATTATGTTGTCATCATTGATACTACTTTTATTAGCAAGTTATTATTACATTATATATAACATACTATTAACAATTTAACGTTACATTGTTACATGTAACATTATCATTATCAACAACAAATAATATTCACTGTGGTAAAATATAGATAAACATCAAATTCACCATCTTAACCCTGTTTAGTGCACAGCTCGGTGGCATTAAGCACATTCACGTGGCTGTGCAGCCGTCACCCCCGTCCATCTCCAGAACTTTCTCATCTTCCCAAACTGAAGCTCCGTCCCCATGAAACACTCATCCCCATCCCCTGCCCAGCCCCTGGCACCCCCCGTTCCACTTTCTGTCTTGTGGATTGGCCTGTTCTGGACATTTCATGTAAATGGAATCACACACGATGTGGCCTTTTGTGTCTGGCGTCTGTCACTGAGTGTGATGTGTTTGAGGTCCATCCACGTGGTAGCGTGTGTCAGAATTTCCTTCCTTTTTAAGGCAACAAGTGGTTTTTGAGTGCTCACTGTGCACCAGCTCCCCTTCTAGAACCCCTCAAGCGCTGACTGGACCCTCAGCAGCCCCGTTGGGTGGGAGTCCCCCATCATTATTCTTATTTTCTCGGGAAGGAAACAGGCCCAGGGCAGTGGCGTCACTTGCCAAAGGTCACACAGGTCATGAGGGATCTGAACCTGGGCCCTTAACTGTTCCTGACACTGCCCTCGGCTCCCTGGTCAGCCCTCGAGGGCTCCCACCTGCTGTCCTCCCACCTGTTAGTCCCTCTCTGCCACTAACACAAGCCCAGAGGCCTCCTGCTGTCGCTATAAATACACCCTCAGCTGCTGTCTGGACCTCACACCGGCAGCCACCTTTCCTGTGCAGCTGGACCGCTGGTACACCTGGCTGCCTGGCCCTGGGGGAATGCCAGGCTGCTGCCTGGAACCCCTCACCCCTCTGCTGCCCAGACCCCTGGAGAGGGTGACCCAGTCCGGCATCCCATGCTGGGTCACAGCGGCCCCTGTTCGCTCACTGGGTGGGAAGGAGGCCCAGGGTCTCTGAGCAGAACTAGGGCCTCCTCCACGCCCTCCTGGGGCTCGGGAGAGGATCCAGGAAAGGACTGAGCATTTATTGAGTACCCGCTGTATGCTTCTCAGGGACCACTGACTAGTCCCCGCTGCAGCAGGCACAGTTCTCACACTGCCCATTTTGCAGATGGGAAAAGTAAGGCTCCAAGAGGGGAAGGCACCTCCTCCAGCCAGGAGCACGCGTGGACGCGAATCGCATCTCCTACGCAAACGAACAGTCCCTCTCCCACGCCCCGAGTCTGGGTGTGCTGCGGTGACAACCAGTGACGGAGGAGGCGGCAGGGGGACCCTCAGTCAAGGTCCAGTTTGCTCCTCTCTGCGGCCCACAAGGCCATGCCTCCCTGCCCTCACCTCCTCCAACCCGAGACCAGTCACACGGCAAGCCAGGGTGCAGCTGCGTCTGACCCGGGCCGCCTCGCTCGCAGGCCGCAGCCTTTCCTCCCGCCATCCAGCCCGGGGCACACGTTATGGAAACCCTGGCTCCAGGCTGGGACACCCCTGTTCCTTCATTTATTCACTAGTATCCAGGGCCTGCTTTTTATTATCTGTATGACTCGGAGGGTGTGGTTTCCGTTGGAAAACCTCAAAGGGTTTGTTTAGTTAGTTGGTTTTTTTTTTTAAAAATGAGTTTAAGGGATTTCAATCCTTTTTTTAAGGATTCTGGGTTCTCATTCCAGCACTACCTCTTAGAAGCTGTGTGACCTGGGGCAAGTGGCCGACCCTCTCTGGGCCTTGGTTTCCTCATCTGAAACATGGGAGAAAGTGTAAGAGCCCCTTCCTCCCAAGATGGGGGAGAGAATTAAACCAGTTAAGTTGTGCCACGGGCACCAAGCCTGGCACGCAGGAGGTGCCCAATCCGTGTTTGCTGTTACTAGTATCGATGTTGGTATTATTCTGAATTCCATCCAGGAGCAGTTACGGATTCTCCTCACCAAGTTTCTCCTGCCACCCTCTCTGGGGCACCCCGGGCAGCCCCTCCAGTGGCTGTGAGTGTCCCAGGCTGGCCCCTGCCCAGCGCGCCATTCTGGGAGGTTGGCACCGCGAGAGGCGGGAACGGGAGGCTGGCCTGTGGCGG